TTAACTTTTTTAAATCAAGAAATAAGACATGCATGGACAGAGGCCCACAAACCAAGTATAGACCCACACATAGACCCATGTATACCAGGTATACACCCACGTAGCCACCATTAGAAACAGAACAAAAAATAGCATCTCAGAGTCCCACCCTTCTATTTAACCTTCCAAGAAGACAACCATTATCCTAAATTATAAATCATATGTTGGTTTTTCTGTTTTTGAACTTTTTATAGGGAGAATCATACAGTTTGCATTGCTTGTGTTGTATCTTTTGGATCAGTATTATGTTCATGGGATTCATATACTTATTTACTTATTTACATGTAGGCATAGTTATTTTATTTTAATTTTCTTTCTTTTTTTGTACCAGGGTTAAACCTAGGGGTGCTTAACCACTGAACTATATCCCCAGTCTTTTTTATTTTTTAGATTTTGAGACAGGATCTCAGTAATTTGCTTAGGAGAGTCGCTAAATTGATGAAGCTGGCTTTGAACTTGCAATACTCCTTCCTTAGCCTCCTCAGCTGCTGAGATTATAGGAATGCACCACTGCACCTGGCTGGCATAGTTATTTTTAATGCTATGTACTAGGTCATTGTATGAGTATTCTATTTATCCAATCTCCTGTTAAAAGATATTTGCATGGTTTAAAGATTTTTCTATTAAGAATGATGCTACTTTGAAAATTTTCTCTTTTGGTTTGTATTTCTGAAATGCATGTATGTAAGAGTAACACTGCTAGATCATAAGATAGAAATACAATTCGTTTTAAGATATATTTCCAATTTGTCAAGGTATGTTTGTCAGTTTCCACAAGCAATACCCAAATAGTTCAGTTCTTTATATATAATCAGTCTTTTCAATACTAACTCTTCCATTGGGTGTGATATGAATAGGAATTTTGTTGCTATGTCTGCTAAATGAATTTTTATATATTCTTGTTAATTTGGAATGCTGTTTCATAAAGTATCTGCTTATTTGCTTTTCCTACTTTTTAAAAATTTGATTTTTTAGATTATTTTAATGTATTTTATGTATTTTTATGAGAATTCTTTGTTGGTTATTTGTACTACAAATATATTCTCCCTAATTTGACATGTACTCTAATTTATGAATATTTACCTTAATGGTTATTTTGTCTTTCTCTTCCTTATGCATAACAATATCATCCTTTGTTATTTTTGAAACCTTTGTGTGTATGTGTGTGCATGTGCACGTTTATGTTTTGTCTTTTACATTTGATGTTTGATTCTCCTTGAATTTACTTTTTTGTAGATATGAGAAAAAGCTCATGAGATATTCTATTTTTCCCTATTTTTTCAATACCAATCTTCTCCATTCCTCTTATAGTGTTTTCCCAAATGACTACATGCTATTTTGGGTTTTATCCAATTGATTCAATGCCATTATGGAAAATAGCATTCTTCTATTCCTTGTCTGCTCTATAATGTTTCTTTTCTCCTAAGTCAAGTATCCATATTTTTGAGAATTTGTGTGGTTTTATCCTTTGATGCATTTTTATTGTGTTGCATCAAAACCAAATTGGCTTAAGTACTATTATTTTATAGTTCTTGATATGTAGTAGTATAAGCACTCAAAGTTTGTGGCTTTTCTCAAGTGTTTTCTTATATCTTCCATTTTCATTTCTACATAAGTGTTAGGATCACTTATAAATTTCCACCAAAAAGTACCTTTATGATATTTTGATTATGATTCATATTTAATCAAATTAGAAAAAATTGACATCTTTACAATATTCCTCCTCTTATTAAGGTCTTTTCAAGTTCATCTTAGTGATGTTTCATAGTTTTCTGTGTACAACTTTTGCACATATTTTGGTAGATTTTTCCCTGGATATTTAACATCATTTGGAGGTATTGTTAATGGTATTTATCAATTTGATTTTCTATATTTTTATATGCTATCTAAAAATAAAGTTGATTATTGCATGCAGTTATTTATCAGACTAATTTGTTGATAAGGCAATTTACTAATTCTATTTTTAATTAGGTTTTGGGGGATAATTTTGAATAATATGTTATCTGTAAATACCATATAACTTTTTTTCTCCCTTTCCAATCATTACATGTTTAATTTTTTTTTTTTGCCTTACTATCTTTGCATGGGTCTTCAATTAAATATAGAATAGCATGCAACATGTTGTTCAGTTTTATGGGAAAACCTTCCAACATTTATCATTGGGTACAAGATTTGCTGGATGTTTCTTATAGAAAATTTGATCAGGTTTTGAAGTTTATTTTTATTTCTAGCACTTACGTGTTTTCAAATTGAACAGATATTTAATTTTTAAGCAATAGATTTCTTTCTAACTTTGGCCTAATCAACATATTTTTCATTTTCAAAGTGATTTACTTTACAAATATTATTTAGAAGTTTGCATGAGGCCATTATACTGTTGCTCTTCAATGTAGTTTCATTAAGGTCAAAGATAATCCCCTTTGAATTTTTTTGACATTTGTTTATTTGCCAGCATTTAATTAGTTTTTATAAGAATTTCAGCTTGAACATATTGTGTATTTTGTATGTGTCAAATGTTATTTTCCATGGAATTATATTAAACCATGTTTGCTTATTGTGCTTTTCAAGTCATATGTGTTTATTAATTCTTGTTTACAAAGAATTGTTTACAAATTACTACATTAAATTTTTAAAATTTTTACTTATATTTGTATACTCTAACAATTTAGTCAATTTTACTTCATACATTGTTGAGGTTGTTACCACGAGCCTTCACTTGTGCAATTATAATATCTTCATGGCATATTGAAACTTTTATGCCTATGAAATTACTTTTATACCTGGTGATGCTCTGTGTCCTAAGTGCTACTTTGCTTCCATGATTACAGGTATATTCATTTTCTTCTAGTTAATATATATAGCACATTTTTATTTTAACTGATATAAAAAGCATGAAAGTAGTACATATTAGTAGGTACCATGTAATGTTTGATACATGTATACATGGTGTAATGCTTAAATAAGGTAAAATTTATATACTCAAACACTTATCATTTTTTGTGTTTAATACTTTTCAAATAATTTCTTCTAGCTTTTTGAAATGTATGGTAAAAAATTGTTATTTATTGTCACCATACCATACAGTGGTACCCTGGAGCTTCTTGCTCTTTTCCAACTGTAATTAGTACCCATTGTTGAACCTTTCCTCATTCTTCTACCCCACTTTCCTTGGCCTCTGGTGACCACTATCTACTCTCAACTTCTATGAGATCAGCATTTTTAGATTTCACATATAAAGTGAGATCATACAGTATTTGTTTTTCCGTGCCTGACTTATTTCACTTAATGTAATTATCTCCAATTATATTCATGTTGCTGCAAATGACATTTTATGCCAGAATAGACTGTGTATATGCACCGCAATTTCATTATCCATTCATCAGTTGATGGACATTTTGGTTGTTTCCATTTCCTGACTATTGTAAATAGTGCTGCAAAGAACATGGGAGTATCGATATCTCTTCAACATCACTTCCATTTCTTTAGATATGTATCCAGGAGTAGGATTAACCTACATTTCAGTGCATTAACTCTCTATTTACATGATCTAATCTGCTATTCAACTTGTCCATTGATTTCTCAACTTTATTAATAGCATTTTTTTATTTCTAAATTTTATCCTTGGTTAATTTTTAGGTAATTTATAACTCAATTAAATTCTTAATCTGGAACATAGTACATGTAGTTAATTTTAAATCTGTGTTTTGCACTTATAATATCTAGCACTTCTATGTATCTGTTTTTATTGTATGTGTCTTTATTTTATGTGTGTATGTACATGTATACACAAACACACACATCTTAGTCTATGATGGTATTAATTTTCCCTAGAAAGTATATATGTTTCTTTGGTGGTAATTGCCAGGATACACTAGCTTTAGTCTACTGAATACTTTCAAGGAAGCTGAGGATCAGAAAAATCAAGTAACAAGTAACAAGGTTACATAGTAAGTGACAGAGCCAGATTTTGAGCTTACTAGTATTAATCTTACCAATACAATTCGCTTTCTCCAATATTATGCTACACAGACCACCAAACTGTAGAACTGCTATTCAAAATGGCCCCTTGGGAACTTGCTGTTTCCCAGTCTAAGCTAGTAATATTTTTGTGATTCCAATTTTAACAAATAATTAGACAATGTAGTATGAGACATTTGATAAATTGTAGAAAGCAAAAATAGATTGAAGTTTTTTACTCCATTCAAAAATTAGAATGCATCACAACCTATAGAATTTACAGTGTCTTGTTTAAACATGAGAGGGATATGTGGATTAATAGATCTCTGAAATTTATATTTTAAATGAGAATCCCTATTCATTAGTATCATGTTCAGACTATACCCTTCTAAGCATTGAAATACAAATATCAAGAAAAGGTGTGTAAATTATTTTTGTATATGCATGCATCATGAATGTTTGAAATCTTCCCTGGCAACCATTATAGACCTCAAGTCTATAGCATACAAAATTAGGCTTAATTACTTTAAATCACAGCTAGAAGGCAATGAATCCAGTAACCAATCCCTGTTCTCTTTCTCAAATTCAGTTTATTCACAATCCAATAATTCTGACTTGACAATTGGAATATTCAATAGTAATGTGTGTTCAAGCAAGATACTAGAAATCTCTGGGAATGTTTAAAACTCAAATTGTGATTAACAGTAGCTGAGTGAATTATATTTTGGAATTTCTTTTCTTTTAGTTATTTGAAGTTTTTTATGTCAGTTTTTATATTTGTTCTTTTTAGATATATTTGAATGTATTTTAATATATTATACATACTTGGAATATATATAATAGAGTGTATTTGACCTATTATACATACATGGAATATAACTTATTCTAATTAGGAATTTCTTATGTAGTTGATTTTAATAGGATTTTATTTAGTTATTGGGAATGTTTTGTTTTATAGTGTAAAATTTCAAAACAAAATTTAACTTAAAGTCTTTTCTCTATAGGGATGTACAAAAAATACAATTTTACTCAACAACCTCATCATCCAAGAAATATGCCAGGCAGAATGATTTTACCAAATATAATAAGACTATTTATGATGTGCTGCTCCACTTGAGTGGAAGAATGCCACCTGGAATTAATTCAAGTCAATCTTTACCCATGGATAACCCTGAAAGAATAACTCAACTTTATTTTCAACATTCCTCACTTCTGGAATTTCTCAAGTAAGAGCATGGATGTGCTTAATTTAAGCTTCCAATTATGGCTTGGGAGGATAGATAGATAAATAGGTAAATACATTGATAGACTGATTTTGAAATTATTTGTATTTTAACCAAATATTTATTGTTATATACTCTGTAATATATATCATAGAAAAATTCATACTAGTTAATAGAAAATAATCATTCCATAATATTTTGGATTTATAATCTAAGGCAGTCATTCTCAAATTTTATTATAATTCATCCAAATCACTGGTAGAACTTGTTAAAACAATTTGCTGGCCCTTACCTATGGAGTTTATGATGTTACTTGGCATTTATAACAAGTTACAAGATAATGCTGATAGTCCTGGTCTATGACCTTATTTTTAAAATTCTGATCTATTGCACATATAAAAAAGCACTGAGCAAAAGAGGAATGAAACCAATAATCTTTGTTTCTCAGATAAGTGTTAATATATTATGGATACTGTGAACTTTTCATTTCCATTAATAAAGTCTTGGATATTAAAATAATAGGCAGGCAAAAATTTCACAAATGTTTAGTATAAACCATGGGAGAAAATACTTGTCATCATAACGTCTATGTTCCTCTACAGAGATTGAATGGCAAATGGCCAAGAAATAGAAGAGCAGCATATATTAAAAGTCTGAGAGGAGGGCTGCTGAATTTATATTGCTTCTCTTGCCTGCATTTATAGCATCCTTGTTCACTAAAATGCCCTATATCCATAGGCAGTGTTATTACTTTCATATTCTTTCATCACCAAAATACCATTGGTTACTCATAATTATTTATATTATAGTGTTAATTTATCTTGAAATACATTAATGTACTTTTGCATCTTTGTTTATAGAATCTGTCCCACAGTTGGTCAGAGATATTCATCTATCTTATTAAGGATTGGCAATGAAGGTCAAGTAGATTCTTAGAGCTTGAATGCAAATGAAAGATTTGACATTCAGTTCTTTTATTTACAAATCAGGATTTTTTTGAGTCTCTAACAGTACTATGTATTGGACATAGTTCTGAACAAAATATTTTTTTTCATTTGTTAGACTCACTATCATAGTACTAGTTCAAACTGGCTTAGGCTCCTTTTGACTTGCAATAGTGCCAGTAGTTTCTAAGTCACTGAAAATGACTTTAGTTCAAGACCCAGGTAGCTTGTCATGAAATTTGCCATGATAGAACACTAGAGGGACCCACCCCACTGAAGAGGAAGAAGAGTGGCAGATGGCTGGCTCTGAAGTTATAATATGAATTACAAATATTTGACAACAGGGGAGTGACAGAGTCAGTGATGGTGACCTCTTGATCCTTGGCGGAGTTAAGAGACACCAGAAGTGATGGGGACCTCTTGATCCTTGGCGGAGTTAAGAACGCCAGGCACAGTGGCCCACACCTGTAATCCCAGGGGTCTCAGGAGGCTGAGGCAGGAAGATCGAAAGTTCAAAACCAGCCTCAGCAAAAGCGAGGCCCTAAGCAACTCAGTGAGACCCTGTCTCTAAATAAAATACAAAATAGGGCTGGGGATGGGGCTCAGTGGTCGAGTGCCCCTGAGTTCAATCTCCGATACCAAAAAAAAAAAAAAAAAAAAAGACACGAGATCCCCATCTCAGACATCAGCAGCATATGATCACATGACTAATAGGTTCCCAGCAGAAAGGGCACATTTTTGAAGAGACCAAGGATCATGAAAAGCAGTAATAGACCTTTATATGTACAGATACACAGATCCCTCTCCCCTATCTTATGTTAACCCAAATGTATAACTAATACATGTTCTGAGAGGCTCTTGTACAATTGGGGCCCTCTTTTAAAATAATAATAGATTCATGGTTTTAGAAGGTATCATGAATGTAAAGAAGCCTGGAGTTGAAGCTTTATTTACTTGGCAGTGAATTTACATTTACATCTTCCCAAATGCCATCTTGAATTAGAGATGTGATGCTGAAAATTTAAGTATTTATCGAAAGAACAGAATTACCTTAACAAATTGGTAGTGGTTATAAAACAAAAAAAGGCAAAGATATATGAAGATGAAAGTTTTCATTTCCTCTCTATTCCTCTATACATAATCTAGGTGAGAGAATGAGAAATATTATATCAGTTATAGAAAAATAGCCCAACTGGAATTATGTAAATCATTTTTAACTCCACTGCCTCATCATTGGGACAGTCAATCTCACTAATTTATGAGCATCTTAAGAGCAGGAATCACATCTAATTCATCTGGTGTCTTTAAAGCCCAGAGTCAAAATGAGGTCAATGTCCACTAAATTTCTTTCTCTCTCTCTCTCTTTCTTTCTTTCTTTCTTTCTTTCTTTCTTTCTTTCTTTCTTTCTTTCTTTCTTTCTTTCTTTCTTTTGTTTTTAAGGTACATCTTTTTTAAAAAGAGCATTATAGTCATCCATAATAGTTTGGTTCATTTTGACAAAATCATGCATGCATGGAATTTAGTTCACTCCATTTCAGTCCCCATTCTCCACCCCCAAAGGCCAAGATCAAAGTTTCACCAGGTTTTATTTTCTTCAGAGAGCAGTCTGCTTACCTTGCCAAGGACCTCTTCTTACTGTATCCTCAAATATTTTTTCCTTTGTGTACATATGAATCTAGTGTTTCTGTGTGTTCAAACTTCATCTTACTATTAGGACATCAACCATATTGGTTGACGAATGTAAAAAGAAATCATCACTTCTTTTTACATTCGTCACTTCTTTAAAGACCCTAACTTAAGTAGGAGGTGCTGGAGTTTATGGTTTTAACATTAATTTTGGGGGACAGACAACTACAATACCATATATGTTGTATTATAAAAATATTATGTAATCAGATATTATATTTTATAATAGATTTCATGAGTATATTTGTAATAATCTTCTTATTTTTCTTGTAATCTGTGCCTTTATGGACTAAGTTGTGCCCCATTCCAAATTCACATGTGGAACCCCTAACCCCCAATATGACTGCATTTGGAGATAAGACTTTTAAAGAAGTTATTAAGGTTAGATTATGTCATAAGGTTGGGGTGCTAATCTGGTAAGAATGGTATCTTTATAAGAGGAAGAAGAAAGTCTTTCTCTCAAAACTCTTATGTAAAGACACATTGAAAAGGTGGCCATCTATAAAGAAAATAAATTTCTGTTTTAGCTACTCTGCCTATTGTATTTAGTTAGGGAAGACCACAACAAAGATTAATATTCTTTGATATAATTTTGCTTATTTGTGATTAATAATTTTATAACATGATTCATTTTAATTAGAAAAAATAAATTTTATTTATAATTTGAATATTTTAAAACTAAAACAGAAGCATAATATGAATAAAATGTGTCCCATATTCAAACTATAAAGTAAGACATTATAAGAATATAAAATTATATAACTTATTTTTTAATTCCATTGAGTTTTCAAATAAATAATTCATTCACCAAAAATAAATACATTTAGAAAAAGCAACTCACATCCCTTATAGATAATTTTAATTCCACTTGTGGTTTTTATTTTTATTATCTTTAAAAACTTCATACCCTTCTTACTAATGTATAAGCATTATGTAATATTATTTAATATAATTGAATCAAAGAATGAATATATTTCAAGCAACAATCTAATATGTGATTCTGCAAGAGTACACTGAACTGAGCTAAAAGAACATGGTTTTTTAATCAAGTAGGTGCAAGCTTTATATTCTAGGTCTTTTGTGCCAATGTGACCCTGTATAAGGTCAAAATCTGTAAAGTCAAGAATAATAATTCCCAAAGTTATATGATTAATAAAACAGTTATAAATAGTCAAATATGCATTACATGACATGGTATATTATAATTATTGTTGATTTAAATGCAATGCAGTATGCTCTAAGGTTGTATTCTTGTATTATTCCAATATAATTAGTCATTAGTGATATTTTGAGAACTGTCTAGAGGTGATATCATTGTTGCTAAAATAGTTTTTTATTAAAAAATACTTTTCTATTAGAAATGAATATCCTATTGACATGAAAATGTCAGAGAACCAGTATTTATCAAATATGTCCTCACATTAATAGATATGATGGGAGAAACTTTGTTGAAATTCTTATGTTTAAAATATAAAGCATACAAATTTTCTTTTGATTTTTCATTTCCTACTTTTGATCCTTAAAGATTGATCAAATGAGGTAAGCCCAGTAATTCAATCAGGTAAAAATTTAGATGCATTAATTTCTGCAAGGTGTTTGAAAGGTGTTTGTGGTTAAAATCTAATGAAATGTAAAACAGGAGCAAAAGAAGTTTTAAATACTCATGTAAATCCTTATGATATATATGTTTTTGAAATTAAACAATTTTGTGATAGCATTATTATACTTTATGGTACTTATGAATATTGTGTTATTTAGTTGTATTCTTCTTGGCATATCTGCCAGTAGTGTTGACATTAACAGGAGTTGTTTCTGTTTTGACATTTTATGATGTGAAGATGCAAGCATGGAAGAATGATTTTGGCATTAAAGCTAAGCCATTCAGATTTATTTGTTCTTTATCAGCAAATACATGCCTATAAGGATATGTTGAGTGTGATAAAATTACTTAACATTTAGAAAGCGGCAGTATGGTTAATGAAATGGGGTCATTAATTCAAGATATGTGTATGTGTTTTATGCTGGAAATAAATGTATTAAAATTCAAAATAGTCATAAATGCTATTAGCTTTCCAATTAAATTTGATGACATAGTGGGTGAGGACTTTTACACGAGTTAAATATCACTTTATGCAATATATAGAAATTAATTCTTAAAGATTTCTAGAAATTTTTACAAAGCTAATTTTTGAAGATTAAGCTTTGAATTTATAACTCATGGCATGTGAATTTATTTTGAACACTGTAAAACCTAGTGTGTAAAAGTGTAACAGAATAAATTATTAATGACAATTCTCTAGTAAAAGCTACCTACCAGATATAAAATCTACTGAAAAATGTAAAGATAATACTGTCTTATGGATTCATGAAAGCAGGCCTTGAGATAGATTCAGAATAAAAAAAAAAAAGAAAAAGAAAGCAAGTATTGATTATATTTTTCACCCTGAATGTTTACCAAGGTCTGTTTTCTGCTACACACTATATAAATACTCAGATGAATGACTTATGGCCCCCTTCTCAAGAAACTTCTTTTTTAATGGTTCCCTCATCATTTTCCTTAAGCTCTCAATAGCATTTGATAGAAGTAATCACTTTCTTCTGAAATCCCGTCTTGGGTGCTGGAATGTTCTCAGTGATTGAGCATTTGCCTAGCATGTGCTAGGCTCTGGGTTTCATCCCCACCACCACACACTGCACACACACACACACACACACACACACACACACAAAACAATAAAACAACAACAAAAGCAACAACCCTCATGTGAAATCCTGTCTTGGCTTTGGTTACAAGAAAGTATTCAGTTTCTTCATATGTTTCTGAGTGGTCTGCCTTTGTTGCACTGTACAGGATTTCCAACTAATAGGGACATTACCTCATTGCATTCTTATGTAGGCTTTAGGTTGACAGTACCTGCTGAGGAACAGTGTTATATTAAAATAAAATTTTGTGTACTACTCTAATAACTCAAACATAATGATCATTTGTACATGAGGATAGGAATTGTGTGACAATCAAAGAGAAAGGATGATTGATTTCCAAGCAAAGGAGCTTCGAGTAGGCAGTAAATTTCCTCCACTCCAGTGCCACATCACACCGAACAGCTGCAGAACTCTGCCCCCTGCTTCTATGCCGACAGAAGTTTCCTTCTTAACATCTCTCATCTCTTTCATCTTTCTATCTTCAGGATTTGAGTTTTCAGCATCATCTTTAAGCCTCTTTTCTCCTTTTTCTTTTCCTCGCTTTTCAGTAATCAACCGTAAAGTACTGAAGGTGCCTCCTGAATTAAGCACTATAGAGGTTCTTCTCTGTTAAATCCATTATTGATGAGTGGAGGTGTATGTTCAATAAATGAGCTGGATCTAAACTCCCAAATCTTTTTTTGGAAACACTTTTCACAAAACTGTACTGGGTTTCTGTAGTGGCTCTGGTGATTATAGACATTAATATGAAGAGTTTACATAAAATTATCTTTAAAACTTTAGAGTACAAAAGTATATATACATATATAAATCTTAATGTAGTAAGTTGTATACATATATGCATTCATTATTTTAACTGTATTATATAACATATTTACTGCTTCAGATATACATCACACATTTGCATAATAAAAGATTTCCCAATATTTGCATACTCCTTTTGGAGAAAAAATAGGTTATGGATTACTTTATATTTGGAGTTTTCTATATTCAGACCTGTGTTCTGATAGCCATTCAATAAATACTATATGACTAATGATCTAGCTTTGTTGTAGTCAAAATTTTTTCAGATTTTTAAAAAAATTCTGTAATGTTACAATGACAATAAAAAGGTTACTGCACTGACTACAAGGACCAAGTCATATGACTCTTAATGTTTGGTTAGCTTATATGCATAGACAATCTGATTATAGTTACTTTGTAAGTTCTTACTCATTAATCAGTTTCTTTAAAGGAAACATCATTTCATTATTAAGGGAAGTTTTAAAAATTAATAATACAAATTTTAAATTTGAAAATTAATTCAACAAATGTAAAAAGTATGACATTGGAATAATTTAACTGAAAGTCAGTACAAATGTGTATTATAATATCATAATTTGGGTTTTCTTTTATAATCTTAGTGCTCAGGGAGGATGTATTTCTCATGTACTGCCAGAATTTCTGCTTGAACCCCAAGATTATAAGAAGTGGCTGGAAATATCAGTAAGAGAATATAATTTCTAGAACCAATCTATATGTATTATTAAATGTATGGATATTTGGATTTTTTAAAGATTTAATTTTAGAGTTCAGATTTTTATGTATAAAATATACTAAGGTTTAAGCTTCTTTAGACAGATGATATTTTGTATGTCTCTACATTGATCTAAAAATATGTGATTCCTATGCTAGATATTCCTAGATAGCTTTTCATTGCTTTGGAGGGGATTTATAAAGGAAAAATGGTGTGAACTTATGTAATTTGTGTTCTTAAAATAAAATTTTAGAATGTATACATTCCAAAGAAAGAGTTTCAAATGACAATTTTACCACCACTTGTCACTTCCTTTCTTCTGAAACAGGGGAGAATAGAGAGAAGTTAAGCAATAAATGCATAGTTTTCTTAGACAATTCACTTGATGAAAACCTATATAGAAAGGGAATTGATTTTGAGGATTCTGAAGGCTTTTAGGTAAATGTGCTTTAGTTGTGTCACTGTCACTATGCTTACCATATGACATGAGAAGAAAAGCAGGTACCTGTTGTTTAGCACCATGCTGAGTTCCTCTAGCTAATCCAAAGGGTGTGGCTTCATCTGGGCTCAGGTTTCAGGAGAATTTCGCATCTTGTTCTGCTACTTCTACTACAGAGTGAGCTAATAAATGCATTGGGTGAATAAATCTATCACCTAAATAAGGGACTGTATGCTCTGGAAAGTTACCTGTGTTGATAGTTTCTAATATTGGTACATGGGAAATTAGAGCTCTTGATGAATATATAAAAAGGGCAAGAAAATTTGCTGTTAAAAAATGCTGAGTGGTTAAAATTTTAGATGTATATTGCCTTGCATTTTAATTTATCTTGTAACATTTTGTTTCCTAAAGTCTTCCAGTAATACCACACCTCTGAGTTCCTGTGCATCTAAGGAAAAGTGTTCTGTTATTATAGATATGGATAAGTTTGAAGACTGGAGTAAACGGGCATGGACAGATGTATTTCTTCAAATATACAAGGTAATACTTCCACTCTTATTTGCTGCTCTTTTTCAGTTCACATGACTAGTGTTAAATAGTGTTATTTAAAGTGTAAGTAATGCTGTCATAAAAGATTTAAAAATACAGTGGCTTAAGTAAGATAGTTTTTTTTCTTCTGTATAAATATTGAGAAATGAGTGATTTGGAGCTAGGAGTTTCCCTTCCATCCCCACTACTAGGCTTTCATGTATGGGTCTAATTTATCAGAACAAAGAGTAGGTAAAGGAGTAATAGAGGGCAGGGAGATACCTTTAAAGGATGTCACCTGAAAAATGTGTCATTTCCCTTTTCACATACTGTTGTGAATTTAGTCATATCAACATGGGTATCTTCAAGGAAAGTTGAGAAATATAATCTCTGGAATGGGCAGCTACAAGCATATTCTGGTATTAACTAGAAGACCTAAATAGACAGTACTGAAAATTATATTTTCTGCCTCTTATACACTGTACACCATGAAGTTTTTCTGGAGTGATACTCACTCATTAGGATTCACACAGCTGAAGGCAAGTCCAGTTTTAATGAGATTCTCAAAATTTACTTCTAGCAAAATTACATTTATAGATAGATGAACATACATTAAATTATGCCTTCCAACTCTGATTTAGTCAGCTTTTTCACTGCTGTGACTAAAACATCTGACCAGAACAATCTTAGGATGAAACGCTTATTTGGTGGCTCATGGTTTCAGAGGTCTCAATCTACAGACAGCAGGTTCCATTCTGTCCCACTGATAGAAGGAGCAAATCTAAAGCCAAAGAGTGGCAAATTCACTACTTTTTGGGAAAATTAAACATAATGTTGGCTTATGAATTTTATTTACTTATTCATTCACACAATCATTTGTATATTTAATTTGTTTAATCCATATTTCCCAATCAATTACCTATGTGGATTTAGATATCAGGCATCACTTGTAAATGCAGAATTTAATAGAATGTCAGGTACATAATATATGCTCAACAAATATTTTTGAATGAATTTATTCAACAACTATTGTGGCCTAGGCTCTATACCAGGCTCAGGGAATATATGAGTAAAATTGATATGATCTGTCTTCTCAAAGAGTTTAAGCCTTGGAGGAGGTTATAAGCAACTAAATGAATAATTAGAAGGAAATGAACAAATGCTAAGACAGGGAAAGACAAAGAAACTACAAATGAGTTCACATAGAGAGGAGCATAAATTTGAGGGCATTGAACTCTTAAATATGACTAGGAATTTGCTAAGCAAGGTGAGACAAACTTGGAGAGAGGTAATATAATTTGTATGAAGGGAGTGGTAATGGCACTTAGTAAATAAAGCAAGGTAGGGCAAACTTTATTTGGAACCAGTAGGATATGTACAGGGACCACTGCAGTGTGATTTTCTAATAGCAAAGAAAGATTGGGCTCAATTCTGAGTACAGCATGGGAAAGTGGAAATTCATAGTAAAAGAACAAGATGGAGTCAGCTAGTAGATAAAGACTATGAGGAAGAATCAGCAGCAAGGGGGGATTCTGGCTAAACCAGCTCAACAGGATTCTTGCTTAAAACAGGCCAGGGTGATTAAACATCTCCTGGGGAATGGTGAAAGATTCAGAACCAAGTCAGATGTCAATAGTGATCAGACATTGAGGGTGGGAGATCAGTCCTAAGTGGATTTAGCAGGGGAGTTAGTAAAACTGGATTTTACCAGATAGTCACAAATTGCCTAAAAGAAAGTTCAGGAGCTTGACTAAAGTTTGCTCAGAGAAAGAATTTTTGCTACTACATAAGCCAATCTAAGGAATCTGGACTTTTTAGATATTATGCTGAGATTGTACAGAACTATTGAAGGGTTGTAAACACAAGGGTGACATGATAAGCTTTGCCTTCTAGAGATATCACTGTGGTACAATATGGAAACTGTTGGGGGATGTGTTTATGCATCAGGTGCTATGACCCAAATGGGAATTCTGGTGGTAGTAGGAATGATGAGGCAATGGCAACTTTAATGAATATTACAAATAAAACTCAATAGAGTCTTCTGAATGGCTAGATCTTCAGAATTGATGGAATCAGAGAAGTCAAAAATAACTGTGGAATTCTTGCTTGGATACTGAGAGGAGTTCGAATCTAGTCCCTGAAATACAAGACAAGAAAAAAAGAACAGGATTTGGGAGGGGAGGCAGAAGGTGTGACAGGGCAAGAAGACATGGTAAATTAATTTTGTTCCTGTTGTGTTTGAAGAGCCCTGCATAATTACCAGAGTGGCATATTCATTAGTCTGGAGAGATCTGATGGCAACACAAATTTGGGATTTTTCATTCATCCTATGGTAAAGTTATAGGAATGAATAAAACCATCTGCAGAGCTGTATTTCTCCATAAATTGTGTCTAAAGCATGGGTAACTCCAGACACTAGATTAAATTAGAAATGAATTGGTGATTTCACATGAAAAAAGAAAACAATGTTGTTTAGATACGTTTCACAGGTTAGAAATGAAAGGTTCTGATTTTCACAAGTCCGCTTAGGTTCTGACTATCATATTCCTTGAACTCATGCATGTATACTAGGACTACATTTTTCATTTCTTCTTGTCTAATAGTTAGATACAGGATATAGGTTATTTTGCCCAATTTGATTGTGTGTAATTTATTACTTCTGTGTGTTAAACCTGCATTTTGAATTATAGCTATTTTCCTGCATGATATTCCCAAGTCACAAAAATGTATTGGTGGCTAAATATTGGATTACTGAAAATATGAAAAATGAACTAACAGAACCAACAGAAACACTTAAAGTCAGAATGTTGTTCTAAATGTTAATATAAATAAGGATCTCAAATGAATATTAAGGATGACTCTGTATGTGCTAAAAGATATGAATGTGATGTGTTTACAGAAGACTGAAAAAAATGATCAGAAACAAATATCTGAATAATTTTTATCAATTCATTTATTCATTTGTTTCCAGTGCATTTTCTGTTATAAGGTCTTTTTAAAAAATAGTAGCATGATTCTATCAAATGTTTTTGTTATTTTCAGACAAAGAGTAGTAGTCTTTCTGACTAAACTTTTTTCTCAAATTGATTCAAAATTTGTATAATATAATATTGGAATATTTGTTGCTGAAGGTGGACAAGATGACAAATCTACAGTCATTATCCAGAATTGCATTTGCATTTCCTAGGTACCTAGTACAGTGATAACCACATGACTCATTTTTATTTTTTTTATTTTTTAATAGTTTTTCTTCATTCTCTTGGCATGTGACTGTTGTCTCTCCTGCTTTTTATTGTTGTTATCAATGTGCCTACTTATAGTAGTTCATTTTCCTATTTTGTTTTGTTGTAGTCTAAGAAACTAGATATGCAGACTTATTAAACTTTTCTATAAAATAAAAGCAAATAGACTCTGACTTAAAGTACACAAATATTTATAAATTAAGAAGGAAGTTAGGGCTGGGGGTGTGGCTCAAGCGGTAGCGCACTCGCCTGGCATGCGTGCGGCCCGGGTTCGATCCTCAGCACCACATACCAACGAAGATATTGTATCCACTGAAAACTAAAAAATAAATATTAAAATTCTCTCTCTCTCTCTCTCTCTCTCTCTCTCTTTCTCCCTTTAAAAAAAAAAGAAGGAAGTTAACTTTGATACCAAGGATTGTAGCTCAGAGTATTTATATATGCAAGAACCATGGTTTTGAATTATATATTTTCAGTCTTGCCTCAATGAGGATTTGTCCATATAGTTGAGATTTGGATAGAGGAGTTTTTCCTGCATGTGCTTTGGTTTTCATCTTTATTGTAACACAGTAATAGTCCATATTACATATGACATTTTAAAATCTACTTTGCCCAGCCATATCTGAACATGCCAATGTCCTTTAAATCTTCAAGAAAATTTCCCTCTTATGGGCACAAAGACTATGGGAAAATTCAGTCTAATGCTGATTAGTTACTAGTTTCTAAATTGTCTTTCCCATAGACAAATATATTCTAGGAATATTATCTTTTGCATCATCAGTTGCGTAGGCCTACTCTGCATCACCAGCCATATGGTCTTAGGTTTGTTTGGTTAATCAAATGTAGGATATATTGTAGACTTCATATTGTGACACATTAACTTAGCTTAAGAAAGTACACAAGATAGGTAAATAAATGCACAGCAACAACAATGCAGGATTCTTGTGGCTCAGGGCATAGCTTAAGTGTTGCACTCACTCTACACCCAAGACTGAAATGTTTACAAAAGTTAGGGCCTAGTGGGCCTGGGTCATTTCAATGTAGGAAAACATTTAAATGTGAAGACCTTTCTATTTTCTAGTATGGCAGCATCCTCATTACTTAATTCAATATCTTGACCCTGAGTTATGAGTTCTTGATCCTGTATATGATCCTCATCTGGACCCTCAATTAACTTGGATCTCCTATAAATTTATTTTTGTCAATTCCTTGAGTTAATGATGTAAAGAGATTTAAACCCCATGTTAAAATATTAGGCACTTCTAAGTCTAAAAGGAATGGCATGAGCTGGCTATTGATTCTTTCCTTCTAGTCAACCTAGTTGTATTCAAGATGATTCTTCAGGAGAAATCCAACTATTGCAATTGTCTAAAATATCTAGAGATTTATGGGCAACTTAAATATGAAAATTGTCATCTGTTTTCTATGCCAATACATTGAAGACAATATTTTTTTAAAAAGTCATTAAGAAACAATAAGCCAAATAGAATACCAAAATTCATGTGGAAATGGAAGAGCATATGGCAGTGGTGGAGAAGCAATCAATATATGTATTATTAATAATAATTTTGTCATTTTATTTTTGTCTTCAGTATGCTCCATTGTGACATAGCCAAGGACTCTAATCTATCACGTGGCCAAACTACTGTTTATCACATTTCTTGAATCAGACATTTAACAAAATTGGATGTGTAGACAATGTTTTGTGATAGCAGGAAAGCATTTCCTAAGTATAAATCACTGAAACTGATTTATATAAACTTCATATATTAGCAGACAGCTAACAAAGAATTGTGTCCTCTGTAATTCTCATTCCTTTCCTTCAGCTCATGTATTATGTGGTTTGGATATTAAGTAATAAATAGAAATGCTTTTCCATGGTGCATTTGGTTTGCTTGAGATGAGGTCATATGCTTTATACATGAATTTATTATTTATTTTGTTTTTCTGGCAATTTATTTTTGAAATATTTGACTGAACTATCATTCTGTGGCAGAGTCAAAACTAACAGGTCTTTCACTACTAATAGTTTCCAAAGCCCTTCGGTAGAATTAAGTACTCTGGATGGTGGCTCTTTCCGTATTAAATGTTACATCTGTGCTCCATGTGGGTCCATCATTAAATCTGTGTTCTTAGTCAAGGGTCACTTGCAGATCTTGTCTCATTTGCGGAGTAGAGGTGACAGATGACAGATGAATCCTGTGCCAGCTCAGGTTATTAGCCTGAAACATTTATTTCGTTGGCTGGACTGAGATAATTCATCATTTAATATTCCATAGAAAGGGATGGGAGTCCTTTTCAAAGGTATTTAGTATTTTTATAGTATATGACATTTGAAACTTAAGAGTTCTAGATCACATAACTGCCAGAATAAAAGGAGAAGGTAATTTTGTTACACTTCTCTTAAAAATGCCAAAAGTGGTGCAATTCACATTTGTGGATGGCTATTCTCTCTAGACATAGACCAGATAAATATTCAACACTCAGTAATGGATTTTTGATGAAATTTTAAACTATTTCCCATAATAAAAAAGAAAAGAACAGTTTTAGGATTGTCATAAATATCTTAATAATTTTTAAACTGTGGTTATTTGAGATATTATGTAGTAGCATGGATATATACTACATAAAGAAGTGAGCACTTTTTTTCAAAGTTATAATTAACATTCTAGACTAGGAAAATGCTTTTTAGGTTGGATTCTCCTAGAAGCGGACTCTGAGAAAAATATTTAAGTTCATTTAGTTTGTTTCAGAGTGATGTCAAGAAGCAAGGGTAGTAGAGTAGGGAACTGAAATAGAGAATATAATTAAGCTAATAACATATGTGATTTCAATCAGGTTTTATCATGGGCCACTGAGGCTCAGTCCCACTATAGTTTTAGGGGAGACATTTTAGAACACATCTGAGATTTATCCCAATGCAGTGATGAGGAAGCCAGAGTATTTAACTACCAATTCCCTGACCTTTTTGTGTTGGGTCTACTTCTGGGCTCATTATGCTCTGGCACTCTGGGCTTGCTTTCTGCTGGTTACATGTGCTCCAATATGCAATAAAAAATTCTTCCTGCAAGTATATGAAGGTGTTCATAATAATCAGTTTTTGGATTAAAGAAGTGAATGCTGGGTGAATATGAACAGGATACCTCCAGTATATCTATAACATATGTCACTCAAACTATGGTCTTCACACCCGTGTCACTGGAGAACTATCTATTAAATATCTGGTATGAAGCAATGAGCTGAGCTTGTAATGTGTACTGTAATGTAAACCACATTCTGACTTCTTCATTCACGATGTCTTAATATTGTGTGTTTGTGTGTCTGTCTGTCTGTCTGTCTGTCTGTCTATCTATCTATCTAGATATATATAGTGTGTATGTTCTAGGTAGCAGATTAGACTCTGTGCCAAATGGCAAGTTAAAGTGTGACTTTGAGAAGTGCCTGTTTAGTTCCTTTGTCTATTTATTGATTAAGTTATTCAGGGAGTTTTTGGTGTTAAGGTTTACGAGTTCTTTGTATATCCTAAAAATTAATGCCCTGTTTGAGATACAGTTGGCAATTTTTTTTCCCATTCTGTAGGCTCTCTTTTCATGCTCTTTATTGTTTCCTTTGTTCTGAAGAAGTTTTTTTATGCCATCCCATTCATTTTTTATTTTACTTTTTGCACTTTAGAAGTCTTGTTAAGGAAATCAGTTTAGGAGTCTTGTTAAGGAAATCAATTCCTAAGTCAGCATGTTGGAATGTGGGCTACATTTTCTTCCAGTAAGTGCAGGGTTTCTGGTCTAATTCCAACCAAAAAAAAAAAAAAAAAAACAGTAAATGAGCAAAGGAACTAAACAGATTCAACAAATATATGAAAACAATGTTCAACATCTTTAGCAATTAGAGAAATGCAAATTAAAACTGTACTGAGATTTCATTTCACTCTAGCCAGAATGGCAATTATCAAGAATACAAGGAACAATACATGTTGATGAGGATGTGAGGAAAGGGTCCACTCACTTTGCATGTGGGACTGGAAATTGGTGCAACCATTCTGGAAAGCAGTATGGAGATTCCCCCCCAAATTAGGAGTGGAACCACCATTTGACCCAGTTATCCCACTCCTCAGTATGTAGCCAAAGATTCAAAATCAGCATACTATAGTGATAAAACCACATCACTGTTTATAGCAGCACAACTTACAATAGCTAAGCTGTGGAGCCAACCTTGGTGCCCTTCAACAAATGAAAGGATAAAGAAATTGTGTTATATATTCACAATGGAGTATTACTCAGCCATTAAGAAGGATGATTTTATGACACTTGCCAGTAAATGTATGGATATTGGGACTATTGTGCTAAGTGAAATAAGCAATCCCCAATAGCCAAAGGTCAAATGTTTTCTCTGATATGTGGAAGCTAACTCACAATTAGTGAGGGAGGGGAAGAATAGAATTTGAGTAGATTAGACAAAGGGGAATGAAGGGCATGGAAGGGGAATAGGAAAAGGAAAAATAGTTGAATGGATCTGACATAACTTTCCTATGTATATATAGTGAATCTCACCACTACAAGAATAGGGTCTATGCCTGTATAAATGTCAAAATAGACTCTACTATCATATATAACTGAAAAGTAACAATAAAAATGTGTAACTTTGAGTAGATCTTGGCTGTTGTGCTCTACTAATCAGACACAGAATCTTTCACTTAATATTATGTATTTATATCCAGATAAATTATTTCATGATAACATGTGGTGTGCGTCTTGTAAATGGCAATATGATATAAATATGCCAATCTTCATGGCATAGGATGAAAATATGTCGAATTATAAAATTTTATGCACTTTATCATCTTAAAAACAGACCTCTTCTATATGTATCCATTTGAAAATCAGTTTTGACTGAATAACTTACTACTTTGATTTCCAATTTTTTTTTTGGTGGGGGTGGGTACTGGAGAGCAAACCCAGAGATTGTTTGCAACTGAGCTATATCCCCACCTCTTTTTATTTGTAATTTGAAACACAGTCTCACTTAGTTGCTTAGGGCCTCACTAAGTTGCTGAGGCTGGCATTGAACTTGCAATCCTCCTGCCTCAGCCTCCTGAAATGCTGGGATTACAGGTATGTTTCACAATACCTGGCTCAAATTTTTATTTTTTATGGCTGATGTAGTAAAGAGATTTAAAAAAGCATTTTAAATTCTTGTGTTTTAAATGAATTATCATTCTAACATCTGTCATCAAAGGTAGTTATTTTTTAATTAGTAATAAGTTTCTTTTAAATTGTGTAGTATGGTGCCTTATTGACTAAATGCTATAAAAGAAAAATGTTGGGAACTCAAAATGAACATGCATATATACATAAGTGGCATACATGTCTTACTCCAGAATGGTTAAATTTAGCCAGAAAATACTAGTACATTCATTTACCCATCATCTTTTATTACTCATCAAATATTATTTTGTTAATTTTCTATTTAATCTAATAAAAGTTGTCTCTTTCTTTCTAATTTCAGGTTCTGGTCCTATCCCGAGTTACACCACATTGTAGCAGTAATGCACCCCACATACATGTGAAAAATACACCAAAAATCAATCCTACTTTTATATCCAGCAATATATATTCTAGTTCCGAGAGGATTCTGCTAAGTTGGTTAAACACAAATTATGAGAATACTCGACATATTATATGGGAAAACTGTCAGAAAGGTAAAAGTTATTTTTTCTTTAAATAAATCATTGCCAATTGTTATGTGACAATATAAAAGGAGCCATGAAACCATACTCGGAATCCATGGATTCAAGACCTTACTCCAGCATTTATTCTTGGTTCTGCAAAAAGGATGTCTTTTCAACATCTTCAAGATGAAATAATAAAAGATGCTTTCTTCATTTATCTTGAAGAATAAATTATATATATATATATATATATATATTTTTTTTTTTTTGAAATATATAAATTTCATTTTCATTCTGAAAATGAAAGATAGTCCTAATATTGTTGCTAGCATTTTTAGCTATATGAAGTATTACATTTAGGTGACAGTGTTAAAATCTTGTACATAATTAGTTGAGATCAAGTAAAATTTGATGAGGAATCATCTTGCATGTCATATGAGGATATACTGGACATCATTTAAGTGCAATAATGTTTCATTTATTTTTTGGAGGGTAGGTTATGTTAGATTCATACATTGAGATATGTAAGTGTCCATAGATGGGCCAGCCCCAGTGGGCACTCTCTAATTCTGACTTGCAAGATGATACTCTATCAATTTTTATCCCAAGAGCCTTAAACTCTTTTTGAAAATCCTAATTGCTAATATAGTGCACTTTTTCTTAGTCATAAGCATTGATTGTAGTGTTTACACTGTGCATGATCATTGTTTCTTTAGCTTGAATTCAGCTCTCCTCTTCCAAATACATGCACACCTATTGTGTTTAGAGTAGGATTCATTTTAAATTCTAGTACTTTTTGCTATGTTCAACCTTCAGAGTTTAATCCAAATTTTATAATTAAGGCAAAGATTAAGAGGTTTATTTCAAATGAGATTCTTTGAATTACAAGTTGCTCTTAACTTGAAGGTATTATTTTTAAAAACATGGTGACATGAAGATTGAAAGATATATTTAAATATTGGTATTTGAGAACAATAGACATAGAAAGATTTTTTTCTAATTGAAATGATGAAACTCAAGATCCATATTTTATAAGATGATTTTTTCTGTTTAAAAATATGAAGAATGAGGTGTAAACAGGGGTGAGGGATATTCTTCAGTGTTACTGTGCTTGCTTAGCATGCACAAGATATTTGGCTCCATCCCCATCATCACACCCACACACAAAGAATGAGTGCAAATAATATTAGGTTGGCCTGTGAAAACATACATAAAAATTAGTTTGGTAACTGTGGACACTTTTAACAAAGTGTTAAAAAATATGTACATATATTGAAATTAATAAGCTAACCTGTTATAAAATTATGCTTATATTTTTATCAACAGAATAGTTCATACAAGTTAGTTTTAAGAAACTTGTTGCATTTTTTTAAGATAACTTATTATAGGCATTTGTTCCTTTCTTGTTTGTTAGCACTTGAGTCTTATGCCTTTGCAAAGGCTTTGTTCTTCCTGTTCCTTCTGCCCAGAACATTATCTTCCCAAATTCTTCATTGTTTTCTTTTTCATTTCATTCATGCCACTGCTGAAATGTCAACTTATCTGAGAAGTTCTCCCAACACCCTCTCTAAAATGGCATATACTTTAGTCCTTATCTTTCCCTGTTGTGTTTTTTTTTTTCTCAATAGCACTTTACAACATAACACATGTATCTGTTTATTGTCTGTCTCTTTCAGTAGAATATAGGCTTCTTTACAGGTGATATCTATTTTATTCAGTGCTGTATTCCTAGAGCCTACCGTTTTTACTGAAAAATAGCAGACTTAGTTTTGTGCTTTTATAATAGAATACCTGAGACTGGATAAATTATAAAGAATATAAGTTTATTTCTCACAGTTCTAGACAATACTACATTGAAGTTAAGACACCAGCAGCTTCTGTATTGTGTTAAGCTGCTCTGTACTGCCAAGATGGCACTTTGGTGCTATACTTTCAAAGGGGAGGAATATTGTGTCTTCATATGGCAGAAAACAGAAGGGTAAAAGGGACAAACCCCATCCACTAAGCCTTTTATGGCAACATTAATCCATTAAAGAAGGTGGAACTGTCATGACCTAAACACCTCCCAAAAGGCCCCACCTCCCTACACTATAGCATTCCAGATTATTTACAGCACATATATTCTGAAAGACACATTGGATTATAGCAAGTAACGATGTTGGTTGAATAAGTAAATAAATAAAGAGGAACATGCAAGTTTTAGACACTTTCTACCTTATTCCAGATAGTTGACTATCCATTAGCTTATTAGTTTATAGTTTATCCTTACTTATATAAAAAGAGATTCATTCCATGTTTGAAACTCCATGGAATGTGGTAATTTTTTAAAAAGTTGTTAAAATCAATAAAAAGCATCTTCTATGTAGTAAATGGGCATCTGTCTCATGTAAATATGGGACAGTAATTGCCAGGACGTAAATTTATTCTTATATACCCAGCCTTTTGTTTCCAGTAGCTGTTTGTATTATGTCAAGTTAAGTTGTTTTATCATTAGCACTACAGTGTAGTTAACTTTTTTTTTTTTTACCAGTTAACCACTTTTTCAGACTTTAGTGACAGTGTCTTCTTCAGTAGGTTATGCCAGTAATAAAGTATCCTCTATCGTATTCTGTTGGATCCTTTGCTTCAATTGCTATATTGGATTGCTAATAGAAATTTTATCATCCTGTAATTATCTGGTGACTCTGAGAGCAGCAAATACTATTTTGTAATGTAAAGTGGAATTTCTGACAGGATTAAGAACCTTCATTTAACTGTACTAGTAACAAAATCCTAAAATTGGAGCATTTTGAACTGTCTATTCAAAGGAGCTCTGCCATACTGTTTGACTTACACTTATTTCAACAGTTTTTCATTGTGACAATTATAGTTATTATAAATGAAAAATACTATTTGTTTTGGAGAGTTCTGAGTATTTTGGTAACATTTATCTTTTATGTACTATTTAAAGTTGCCCCTGATTCAGTTCAGTTGCTCACTGAACTGAAAATAATTGACAAATATACATGTGTAAGGGAATAAGTACACACACACACACACACACACACACACACACACACACACACATATATAGTGTTTTTAAATATAGACAAACACATAAATAAATATACATTGATTTGCCATCAGATGTTTTCTTGCCTGACTCCGGTATTTTATATATCTTCATTTATTTAATGTTTGTAATTAAATATTAATATTATTTAACAGGAAAACTAAAACAGAATGGTCTATTAATTTTTCCCAGGAAAGGGTGAGGCTGGAAACTGAGTCCAAGCAGTTTACTTCAGGGTTCATATTAAGTATCATTGTATAAGACTGCCCCTCAAAATATAAATCATAGGCTTCTTTAATATAAATGTGCAGAATTGTTATAATTCTTTCCCGATAGCCCCAGATGTGTTTCAATTTCTTTTTGATCCACAGTACTGATTTTTCAAGTCTGAATGCACATTGGAGTCAATTTGGGAATAAAAAACAAATATGGGACCCCACCACAGGTCAATTAAAACTGAATATTTGGAATATTCCCTGTATATGTGAAGCTTTTAGAAGATTTTTAGCTGATTCTGAAGCACTGTGAAGGCTAAAAACCCTAATGTGGGTAAATTTAGAAATAATAGATAAGATTAGTGAATGTAGAGACTCCATATAAGATAAATGTTTGTACTGTAAGAAATAAAATTTCCTGAAATATGTCTTAAATTTAAAAGGAATAGTTATGACTAGCATTATGAATCCTGAGATTTTTTTAAATATTGCCACATTTTGATTTTACATAGTGTTGATAATCATTGCCATGACAGGTGAAATAGATTACCCTCATTTTCTCTCACCTACCTTCCTTTGTTATCATTTTTGTTCTTTATTATACATATTGTCAATACCTGTAGCATTTATGTTCTGTCATCATTGTGCAAGTATAATGTTATCTGAAGTAATTTTTATTCAACTATTAGATGGTTGAATTCCAAAATCATCTTCTTTTTCTAATTGTCACTTCAAGGGTCTCTAGTCTATTAGTTCTTTTTGTAAACATCTTACTCTTATTTATATGTGAATGACATCTTAACTAAATATAAAATTTGATGATCATTCTTTATTGTTCTCTGAATCCTGAATAGTGCTCTATTGTGTTTCATGTGCAAAATAGCTTTGAAAATTATATATCAGCCTGATCACTCCTCCCCTATCAATGAATTGCTTTACTTGCCTCTAAACATTTTTATGTTCTCAGAGTGAGTGAGATGTTGAAAATTTTGAAAGCTGTTCTAAATTATCCCCTTTGTAAATTTGGCATATGAGCTATTTTTGATATTCCTCATAAGTCTCAGATACTTGTTGAAACTGAGAAATTAATAGCATTTTCTAACTTTTATAACTATAGATGATCTTTTATTATAGCTGATCTTTTTCATACTCAAAAGAGTACATTCAGTGATATTTACTGTAGGATTATTTTGTGTATTATTTTCACTATTCCAAAAGTTCTCTCCTTAGTTTTCTAGGAATTTTATAAGGAATGGTATTAACTATATATCTTAATTTGCTAAATTAAAATTGACTTTTAAATATTAACTAACCTTAGAAATATATTTTTCCTGATAGTGTGCTCTTACACCTTGCTGGTACCTTCCTTATATTTTAATTTATTGCTACTTTGAGAATGCACAATGGAATCAACTTGGGAATAAAATACAAATGTGGGACCCCATATGATAATTCGCCTATGATTTTTTCTGCATTTTTTTTTTGCAGTTCATACAAATCTCAACCAATTGCTAGGAGAACATTCCTTCTTTTGTAACTTTGAAAGTGTTTCTGTAAAAGTGACATTTATCTATTTCTTGAATTCTGTAGAATTCATTAGTAAAACCATTGAGACTTTTGTTTTCTTTGTGGAGTTATTTTTAATAGCAAACCAGCTATTTAACTTTTATGTAATTATTCTCATTTTTAATTTCCCCTTTTGTGAGACTTGATAGCATGTTTTTATGAAATCAATGAATTTGATCAAATTAAAAATATTAGCA